TAAAATTGCAATGTTAAAAAAAAAAAAACTTATTCATATGTCCAAGAAAATCTAGAACAAAACCGAATTTTTTGTTTTTATATATTCTTAAATTAACCGTAGGAAATAGCTTCAAAATTTTAATAGGATTATAATGTGTTACTGTCAAGTATAAAAGCTGTAAAAGATTGGTCAATTTATTTATATTTGTCAATTGCGATAACATTTTTTTTCATCATTAAAAGAAAAAAAAAATCATAAACTAAAGAGATATTTGGCTTAATTTCCACAGGGAAGAAGACCCTTCGAGTCTTATCCAAAGTATTTCCTCACATCCTTAATCTCTCTCTCTGCTCTTCCCGCGGAGCTTTCAATCTTCGGTAACTTCATCTCAGATTATTGCTCTTTTCAGCTAAAATGCCAAAAATGTTCAGCTTTATTCAGTTTGTTTTCCTGGTTTTTGGAATTGTATACTGTTCCCAACGAGTTTCGTTGATACCCAGCTCCAATGTTCATGTCGATGAGCTCAAATCACGAATTATGATTGTTGGTTCCGTATATACTAGTTTGATATTTGGATACTTCAGTTTGCGTCAATTTTATTGTTGAAGATATTTCACAGTTGATTTGTAGATTGTTTCTGGAAAAATTAAGAGAAGAGTAATGTGTAGTTTGTATGTTTAGGTATTGCCTCGGGAAGATTAGGTACTGAAAGCATGGCAGTAGCTACACATTGTTTCACTTCACCTTGTCATGACCGTATTCGGTTTTTCTCTGGAATTACAAGTTTTGATAATGGTAGGCCTCTAAGAAAGAGGTTCAATGGCACATTCTTGGTCAAGATTTTGCCCCCTGTTCTAAAAGCTGATCTAAGAACAACTGGCAGATCCTCCTCACGTCCCTTATCTGGTGGATTCAGGTCAGGAATCTCTAAGGTAATCAATCAATCAATCGGCTTTTGTGATTTCGAAAACAAAATCTATTACTTTCCATGATTTCAGCTCATTCCTTTTAACATGTTTGCCTTTCAGGGAGTATTTGATGTTGTGGCATGTACATCAAGGAATGCACTCAAAGAGCTGAGCACTCCACTGCTGCTTAAACTCGTGGGTGTTTTAGCCTGCGCATTCCTCATTGTTCCATCTGCAGACGCAGTTGATGCACTCAAAACTTGTGCATGTTTATTAAAGGGATGCAGGTAAATTCATTTCAAAATTCCCCTGTGACCATATA